CTATATGTGTGTGGATATCTGAATAAAAATATCAAACTTCTGTCTGCCTTCAGCTACAGAGATGTAAAAAGATAAAACAAACAGTGGGTCAGACCAAGCTGATCAGTACAAACTGATTGTCAAAGTACATGAAATTCACCCTGTTGCCGATGTGTACAGTGCTTAGTTGTTACTTAGAGCTTTGTGTAGGCCTTTTACCGTGGTTGAATTCTCTCCTTCTCTCCCCCATTGTACACCATTGTCCTTAGAATGTGATGTTTTAAGAATTTTCATTCCCTTGATATTAATCTTGATTTTTAAGACCAACAGTGAAATTTTAGTAAATCTATGTTTATGTACACATATAGTTGTTTAAGCATTTAAATTCTGTGAGTGCTCAAAAGGCCTTAATCAAAACTGAAGCTCCATTTTGCGTGCATCTAACATCTATTGCAGCTTGTCAGGCATAAAATGTTGGCTAATAGATGGTTGCATCTTTTTTTAAGTCCTCTTTTGAAAGATCAAGTGTACTTAAAAGAAATGTTTGGGAGCCCTCCTCCCAGGTGCTGTAGACAGTTGGCCAAAGCATCCATGGATAGTGTTTCTTTCTATATTATGGAAAATAAAGCTGAGATGGCAAAGAACAAGTGAGCTAAAATTTCCCTTCCACCTGTGCCTTTAACAACTGAGATTGCTTTTAAATTATTTCAGAAGAAGATCTTTGTCATAGGGTTTATTTTTATTTCTTCTCAGGTACAACAAAATCAGAGGATCGAGCTGCCCTACTGAAGAAGTTTAATGAACCTGGGTCACAGTACTTCATCTTTTTGCTGAGTACGAGGGCAGGAGGTCTGGGCTTGAACCTCCAGGCTGCTGACACTGTTATAATCTTTGATAGTGATTGGAATCCTCACCAGGTTATTTTTATTTAATTATCTTCATGTAATATGGAAGGAATTGTTTGTGCTTTTTTAGGCTTTGTGTTTTAATTTGGGAAGATTGACAGTGAAATGAAAGTATATCATAAAATGCTGCTTTGAGAAGAACTTGTAAGGCAAACTGCTACAATTAAGTAGTGCTTTGTTTTAAATCAGTAAAGTGATACTGTGTGTTTATAATTTTTCTGATTTTTCTGATTATAATTTTTTTTTGTCAGGGAATCCTCAAAGTTGGAGTCCTGTAGTTTGCATTTTCTGCTTCATTGGTATAACTGTGCTCACCCTTTAATCATAGGGCACTAATAAATAGCTCTCCATTCAAAGTTAAAAGTCCATACAGCAGATGAAATCATTTCTAAGATTACTAATGCATTTAAGATTCTCAGAAATAGTGATTTGCTTTAGATACACAGGTTTATATCTGGACTTTATATACCCAGTTATATTGTTGCCCCTGTTCTTGTACCTGGACTAGAGAGTTGCTTTACTTCAGGATTCTGTTCTGGCCTGAAAGGCCATGAACTCTGAGTGGCAGAGAACTACATACTGCAGCCTATCTATCTTGGTCATTTACTGCACATTCTTTCAAAAAGTGTTTGATCTACTGCATTTACACTGTATAGAGCACGCACATGTTTTTTTCCCTTCAGTTTGCCTGCCTGGGTCTGATGAGCTCCCAAGAAGGAGGGTAATTAGGAATGAGCTAGATGAATTGTGGTGGGCTGTAGCTTGAGCACTTCTTTTTGTTGTGCTAATAAAAATTCAACATTACAGTGTCCTTTAAGCAGGCAGTGATTTGTGTAGCACAGTTACATTATGCATCATTCTCTGTATTCTTTGCCTAATAGGACTTGCAGGCCCAAGACCGAGCTCATCGAATTGGTCAGCAGAATGAGGTTCGAGTCCTGCGACTATGCACTGTGAACAGTGTGGAGGAGAAGATACTTGCTGCTGCAAAGTATAAACTAAATGTAGATCAAAAAGTTATTCAGGCTGGAATGTTTGATCAGAAATCTTCAAGCCATGAGCGGAGAGCTTTTCTACAAGCTATATTAGAGCATGAGGAAGAAAATGAGGTAAGGCAGTTAAAACTAATCAAAGAGAAGATGTTTCAATTGGTGCTTGGGAAGAAGCTATATAACTGGTAGACAGGAGTGCAGCTTGGGACTGCTTGAGACTGTGCAACAATGGTGTCAATGTGCCTTCCACAGAGCACAGTTTCTTGCACAGGCTGGACCTTGACATCAGAGTCCTTGACCCAGACAGAGCCCTGGAGGGAGGATGCAGCTGCCCAGGTCTGGGGCTGCAGGGAGCCCTGGGGCCTCTACCTGGGGCTGGGGGTGACAGTGGCCTCACCTTTGGGAGGTGTGCTCTGGTTGAGGCACTGAGCTGCCAGGTGAAGGCGCTATGGGAGGAGGGGAGCAGGCTGGGTAGCATGGGGGAGGATGAGCAGGAGATGGACAGGGTCTTCACAAAGACCCTGCAAAGGCAAGAGCCTGAACCAAATGATGCAAAGGACGAGGGACATTTAGAGGCTGTGCTCAGAGGAGCATAAAGCCCTGAGCGACCTGGTCTGACCTCATAGCTGACCCTACTTTGAGCAGGAGGTTGGACTAGAGACCTCCTGAGGTACCTTCCAACCTGAATTATCCTATGAGTAGTAGATGGAGATTCCCATGACAGGGAAGACTTGAAGCTTGTGACTTTGGCAACAGAAGGAAGGCTCCTTCTCTGCCTGCAAACCTGCAATTACACAACAGGTATAGCACCCTGGGAACAAGCGAGGAGAAACAAGCTCTGTCAAGGGAGGCATCAAAGTCAACTGAGCCTATATCAAGTGTCTATTCAGCACTGGTGAGACCACATCTAGAATACTGTTTCCAGTTCTGGGCTCCCCAGTACAAGGAAGATATGGATATACTGGAGCGAGTCCAGCAAAGGGTCACTAAGATATTTAAGGGATTGGAGCATCTGACATAGGAGGAGAGGCTGAGAGAGCTGGGATGGTTTAACCTGGAGAAGAGAAGACTGAGGGGGGATCTTATCAATGTGTGTAAATATCTGAAGGGAGGGAGTAAAGAAGACAGAGCCAGACTCTTCTCAGTGGTACCCAGTGACAGGACAAGAGGCAGTGGGCACAAATTGAAACACAGGAAATTCCATTTAAACATAAGAAAAAAATCTTTTTTATTGTGAGGGTGGTCAAACACTGAAACAGGTCGCCCAGAGAGGTTGTGGAGTCTCCATCTTTGTAGATATTCAAAACCCAACTGGACATGGCCCTCAGCAACCTGCTCTAGTTGACCTTGCTTTGAGCAGGGGGGTTGGACTAGACCATCTCCAGAGGTGCCTTCCAACCTCAATGATTCTGTGATTCTTTAAAGGAGTCTAATTCTCATGTCACCTCCAGAAAACATGACAAGTGCTTTATTGGGCAGAGAGTGGATGTCAGGAACCTCTCCATGATTTTATACATGACAGTACCACTGTCTGATGGCCCTTCTGATGAATCACCTAACCTCTCTGAGGTGGTATGTAAAATGGGAAATACCTACTTGTGAAAAAATAATAATAATATTTCCCTACTTAATAAGAATATTTTGATCATTAGTCTTTATAGAATACTTTAAAAACGCTAAATGACAATAGTCATTATCATTCTGAACATTACTTTCAGAGTGGTAGCAGTAATTCAGTGCTACAGAGTTGGAAGAAATCTAAGGTAGACAGGAATCATAAGCAGATAAGGAAAATAGATTTATTTAATATAAGAAAACAGTACTCAAAGATATGAAATAGCTTCCATTATACAGAATGATTAAGAAAGCAAGGACTTTTCAGTCCTGAGCAACCTGCTCTAGTTGACCCTGCTTTGAGCAGGGGGTGTTGGAGCAGATGGTCTCCAGCGGTCCCTTCCAACCTCAGTAATTCTAATTTTTAAATTTTTGTTTTCCTTTAAATATGTTTTATGTCTCTGAATGTATCAATAATTTCTCTGTCCAGACATTCTGCAGCTATTTGGTATTAGGATTAAGACAATGAAAATACAGATCAGCTTCCAGCCTCCTGGGATTAATAGCTTGGCATATAAATATAAGTAGTTTGTGTAAATGTGTATTACAGAGTGTTACAACTTGGTGGACTTTTTTCATGAATGACTTTGAAAAAGAATAAAATGTGTAGTAGTTACTTTAGGCCATAATGAAAATTCATACATTGTCATAATGTGAAAAATACTGTCCATAAATATGTTTTACTGGAGTGAATAGTTCATAGTTGAAAGCACTGAGTAATGGGAGGGTCAAAACAATTCACTGTCTTAACTTGATTAAGAGAATAGTATTTTTGCATGCATAACACACCTGTCAGCTTAAACAGAATAACTAAGTGTCAGATCCTGATATCGTTTCTGTGGCTTAATGAGTTGGCTTAGGTTATTGAAAGGTTTTGCCATTTGTAATTCTTTGTTTTAGGCTTTCAAAATACTTATCTGAACTATTTTAAATAAAATTTAAGCAAAACCTTAAAATCTGCCAGAATTTTTCCATATTAAAATAAATTCATTCAGTAGTCATTGAATCTATTGTATTGAAAGCAGTTAAAACTGAAATAGCAAAGCTTATCTGTTTTTTATATTGACTGTGATGCAGGCTTGATTTATACTATTACATCACGTGTTCATACAATTCTTTCCAATCCATTCTGATATATATTAAAAGCAATGTTGCTGTTCCCAATCACTGAGTTACAAACATGCCTGTTTATCTGTAGGATTGGAACCTCTCTGCAAATGCATTCTAGGAATGCTCTCAAAGAGGGTACTGAAGATGTTATCATCAGTTAAAACTTAGCTTAATATGTGGTATGTTGCATCAGTACTATTTCCTGTACACTTCTCTCAATTTTCATTTGCTCTTTTTACTAGACTACACTCAAATTACGCATGCTTTATCTTCTAGCTCTGCAAATTTCTGGGTTTAGAGAAAAATATGATAAAATTGAACCAAAAAAAAAGGTCCTAATATATTATTGAGTAATTAAAAATGATACTAAATCATTGATGGTAAATGATAGTAAATGCACACGCATTGAGAGGAAGAGAGAGAGAGAGAGAGACCCAAAGATTTTAGACTTCTTGCATTCTTTTGCAGGTTTTTGGGGGCAGATTTTAATAGTTTACTTAAGGAAGGTTTTTTATGCATGTGATTTTTTCATTGTTTTGGGGGAGGGGGTTAATTCTCAAATTTCTTAAATTTCCCTCCACTTCTTATTTTCATTTCTTTCACACATACATTCAAGAATATATATATACCCACAAAATATGTAATGCATTTAAAAAAAACAGCTTTCTTCTTCCAAATATTGAATGTATGAAATATTGGTGGGGAGGGGAACCAACAGCCCCAGAGCTTATGCCACCAGAACACTGTGTCTTACAAGAACAAGTGAAAAGAACACTCTATCACTTTTCCAACTGCTTTACTTACTTCATGTTTGAATTACATTTAAATTTAAATTACATGAGTATTTACTGTGAGCTGAAGTGGTAATCGTATTTTTCTTTCTGAAGTGTAGAAATCTTACCAATGGAGGGAAAATGGGATGTAGATAGATGCAGGCTTCTTTTGATTATTTTGGAAATAAAAGGCTATAAAAAGTTAGTTTTGAGGGACTATATACTGCATTCTGCTCTACTCCATTTCAGTGAGTATGAAACATTTATTGTCATGAAAAATCATTAACTGTAGGTTTACAATATACTATAACACAGATTCAGTAAATGTTTTAAGGTTTTTATGTGGGAACCAAACTAAAGTTTGTGACTTTGATTTACCTGTCCTGTTGTCAGATTTAAAATGCCATGTACTTTCAAAATAATTACTGTATTTGGAGAGAGGAATTGAGCGTTATGGAGCCTGATCATGTTAAAAATGGGCACCATAGCTCTTCAACATTTATGTTTTTAGTTGAATCCTAGAGTTTTGATTTATTTTGCCAATGAATGGTTTTGTTTTTATGAAATCACTCTTTTTGTCAAAAGACAGAGCTTCAAATCTCACTTTGTGAGTGTACAGTGGTCTACAGAAATAGGGATTGGGCAAGCTTTGTTTCTAGGAATTTTTTCCAGAATTGTTTTCCTTCTTTCTGCTTTGACAGCAAAGACTTCATAGTGTAGAACGGTATTTCTGGGGGAGTGCTGTACGGCATCAGAAGGGAAATATGTATGTTTTAACTGAAAAACAAGCCGACAACTAGCTGTGCTTGTGACCCAGGAAAAACACAAATCAAAATTTCCTGGTTGCATGTTTGCTCATTTCCTCATTCTTAATGTATGAAAGTGGTAATAAGTCCTAATTGTCTCTTTGATTAAGTCTGTTTTGTGTTACCTCTGAATCATTGAACAGCCAGGCACTTTCAAAATTTTAGTTTTGCTTTGAGCATTTCACACTCCTTTTGAGAGAGAGAGAGAGATCAGTGCAACACTGGCTCAATGCAAACGGTTGCTTCAGTTTAAACATTGGTCTGTATTTTTCTAATGCCTTTTTCTATTTAAATAGGAAGAAGATGAAGTTCCCGATGATGAGACTCTGAATCAGATGATTGCTCGGCGTGAAGAGGAATTTGATCTCTTCATGGTCAGGACATTATGATAAGTAGTATATCTTCTCTAGCCTTTTTAATGCTTTTGTTTTGCTAAAGGTGTTATCCTTCTGTGATTCAAATGTTGGATTATTGTTGTTTGGGAGGTAAAGGAAAATTTCTCCTTTCTTACTTCAGTGGTATCTATGCAACCTCATTCCCTCCATTAAGGTTGTATGGATATAATTGTAATTTAGCAAACTACTTCAATATCCAGGAAAAAATAGTGTTTTGGTTTGTCTTTCAACTGAAGAAAGAGGCGTAAAAGTAAAAGCCAGTGCTGAAATAGCTGTGCATAGGACATTGAAACAATCACCTCTTGGTCCGATTTTTGTCTACTCTTGCTTAGCATGTGACCAACAAACCAGAAGTGCCTTTATTTGCAATAAGTGGAAGAGCTGGACAGTGTGAGATTTGGGGCTACCCACAGTTTTTTTACAGCAAATAACTATCAATCATGTCACTGGTGCCCTGGAAAGAATAGGGAGAATATAATTTTATCATTCTCAATTTAGAGGAGACAAGTGAGCAG